ACAGTTGATAAAGGAACTAGTGTCTCAATGACATAATCAATAATTGCATTATCTCCTTCAGTTTTTGTAGGTTCATATATTTTTTGACTAAAATTTAATATTGACTGTTTTTTCTCAGAAGACTTTATATTTTGGCTAATATCTTTTTTATTATAACCAGAGTTGTACAAAAGATCTTCTTTATAGATTTTTGAGCGAGATCTAGCTCAAAAATTTGAGCAAGATCTTTGAAGATCGTAAAATTTGAAGATCTTTTATTTTTTAAAAATTTTGGGTAACGATCTTCAAAGATCTAGATCGATCTTGAAGATCGCTGCGATCAACGATCCTCAAAGATCTTCATGATATTTATTTTTTTACCCCTTTATTAAAAGCCCAGATGTTTTTCAATTTTCATCAAGGCAGGAGGAGAGGTATAAAACATAAAAGAAATATTATATTAATAAAATTGAAAAACATATGGGCTTTTAATAAAGGGGTAAAAAAATAAATATCATGAAGATCTTTGAAGATCGTTACACAAAATTTTTAAAAAATAAAAGATCTTCAAATTTTACGATCTTCAAAGATCTAGATCTTTTTATTTTGAGCAAATGTACAACTCTGATTTTAACTATTGATATGATTATCAATTTTTGAATATTGATTAACATGTACTCTCTAAATATAAATTTATAAATTAAATTAAAATTTATTTTATAAAAATCAACTTTATTTTTAACTGATAATCTAAACATCAAATTATTAAGGTAGATTTTTTAAATAAGTAATTGAAAAATATTTAATGAGCAGTATAAATATCTTTTTAGGTACTTTATTTTTTTTAAATTTTTTTATTATTTTGTTTTACTTATTTTATTAATATAAAATAAAAATAAATAATTATTTTCCAAGTTTATTGATCAAAATAAAATAAGAAAAAATCAAATTAAGATTAAATAATATATAAATTTTACCATAATAAAATGTATATTTTTAATTTGGATATTACAATTCAATTTAAAAAAATACTTTAAATTTAGAAAAAAAATTTCGCCTTTAAGTTGACTTTATCATCTATAAGCTTGAAATATTTTTTATATGGTGGAAATGGAAATTCGGTTTCTTCTTCTATGATCTCTAAATCCATAATATCTAAAACTATTTTTTATTATATATTATAAAATGAATATTAATATGACTTACAAAATTTTTCAAAAAATTTTCAATATAAAAAGGAAAAACTGATGTTTAATGTTTAAAATGATTAGATGAAAAATCAATATAAAACTCGGCTCAACATTTTATAATGAATAAATTTAAATAAAATAAAATTTTATTTTCATTAAATTTTAATTAACAAATATTATTAATATTTAAAAAATAATATAATTGTTTGAATACACTTTTTTAAAATTATATTAATTTCCTCATTTTTTTTTTATAATTTATGTACTCAATATAAAATTTAATCCTGCTAGATGAGGGTTTTTTATATTGTTATCATGGAAACAGATTTTGGATTTGGACCTATTAAGAATGAGTCAAATTGGCTAAAAGAAATTAAAAACCAATTATTTTAGGAAGAGCATCACAGATTGTTCCATTATCAAGATATCAAAAATTTATATCCAAATCAAATTTAGATTTAAGATAATAGATGACACAATGAATACCAAGGTAAAGTAATCGAGGACGTGTGCCCCCTGCTGGATCCTTTCGTCAGAATCTATGACATGTTGGCTGAATAAAGGAGTTTTAATGTTATAGTATGTCTCTAGGGATTTTGTATAAACAGGAAATTTGCGATAAAAACAATATGAAATATTGAAAGTATTTTTAAAGTCTAATTTATAAGAGCCATTCAGGAGGAGGATTTTGGATATAATAAAAATGGCATGTGAAGCTATTTGCCTTATCTCTTACATTAAATTCTAATTGATACGTCTTAATAAGTTAAGACCCGACCCTGGATATTGACCTATGGCAACTATTTTTGCTCTTCTAAATAGCCCATTGCAATGGGGTGAATACCACCACAGTGTTTGTGAGATAATCAGGTTTGCCCCCATAATTGATTCGAATCTATGATGGCATAGAGTATTTTAGGAAGGTTTTAAAGCATTAAAATGATTCTGATGAATGTAAATTTTATACGAAGTGGGAAGGGAAAAACTTTAGAGTCTGGATGTGGAAAATATGTTAAAAGATTTGATAAATATCACAACTCACAGATCATATTTTTTTATTTCATATTTTTCATAATATATTTAACCTTTTCTCTAAAAATTTATAGAAATCTTAGAAGAATGAATATGGATAATCTATTCCTCTCATTTGACTATTCTGATTAATCCATCGTCAAATGAAAGTAACATTTATTATTTATCCATAAGGAGAAAATTCTGAATCCCCGTCATTCTTCACAGGTTATCAGCTAGTAATATTATAAAAAGCTAAAATTTTATATAATGTAAATTCATGCAACAAAGTAATGGTTTACAGTAATAAAAATAATAAACTATAACATGATTCAGTATTAAAGATAATATAACTGCCCGACCACCTTTACCAACATGGCAGCAGACGGAAAAAAAGGGTTAATGATGCTTGGTACCTTAAGGTACCATCTATCAAATTTGAATTTTGTTCATTTTTCATTTGGATAGGCACTACCAAATATATTTATAATATATATTTGAAAATTCGTGATAAAGCCTCTATGGCCTAGTAGGCAAGAGCTTGGCTTACTTATCCTATGCTGCCGGGTTCGAATCCCGGGAATGAAAATGTTTTTTTTCTTATTCTAACTTGGTGGTTCCATCCTTGGGGGGATGATATATAGAAGGCCGGACTCGACCACGTGATTCCGTATTAATATATTAAATAATAAGGGTCTTATTACATTTTAATAAATTTTGGTCGGTATTTAGCAAATTAGATTGGTATTTAAAATATTTCCATACATTCACTTGGTAGTAAGCATCGGGTAATGATAATGCACGGTAAGCGTGCACTATTCTTTTCATGTTTTTCATAAATTAAAAAGCATGCCAAAATACTAAATAAATAAGTAAAATTACGAAAGCTCTCGTTTATAAATGTTCGTTTTATAATTATTTTATTTAAAAAACAATTATTTAAACATTCAATTTATATTATAAAAGTAATCGTATTTATATAGTTACAATAATGATTTTATATTTAAAATTTAATGAAACAGGTTATTTCGCAATTGAAGGTGTCTAATCTAATATTATCCTTGAAAATTAGATATTAGCCAATGCTTTGATAGCCAAGCATTTTTATCAATTTATATGTTACCTATTTAAATTGTACGTTAGAAAAATTCTATTTTTATAATTTTTTAGATTAAACATTTTATTATATTCAAAATAAGGCTTCTATTTAGCAAGCGACAATAAAGACAAGAAGTATACACAGAAATAAACTATTGACAGGATTAACAAATTGTTATAAAGTATTCTATTTTTGCCAAAAAATCTGATTTATATTAAATACACAAAGGCCCTTTTGAAATTTTTTTTGTTTTAAAATGTAGCTTTTGTTTTGATCCAAAGAAAAATTTATATTTTTTTAGTCAAAAAAGAAATAAACAACTTTTCATTATAATGTGAATTCTCATAGCAGATTGAATATGAATATTTTTTTAAAAAGCTTATATCATACTAGATTCTTATGGATGAGCATCAAAGCAATTTTTATTTAGACAATATAACTTCTAAAAGTCAAATTAATTTAGAGATAACAATATTTTTAAGAATATATTTACTATTGACTTGAAATGTAATTATTAAAAGTTTTACCTAAAATTTTTATCTTACTCTATAATCTATTAATAGGTTGGGGCTCAACTTTAATTATTTAATGATTTGCAGGTATAAAGATAGCTAATATTATCCAATACTTTAAGAAACAAATATTTTTATCAATTTATATGTTGTCTAAGATGCATAAATGAGATATAAATAATTCCCAATGAATCATAACATATTTTAGTCAGTTTGATTTAATTTTGTATATTATCACTCAGAGTTTGATTTTATTTTTTCTGCATGTATTTTATCAAAAACAGTCAAAATAACCTGAGACCTTAAAATTTTGCTTATTAATGAAAATTCACTAATAAAACTTTTTTTCTTCAAATAATTCTAAGTTCAATCTTATCTACCCATTTTGGATTTCAATTTAAAATAAATTTTATAATTCAATCTTAAGTTGTTTTACTTCTATACTTATTGGTTAAAATATTTCAATTAAGTTAAGATAAAAAATCAATGCCATAAACACTATAATAAAATAATTATTTAGATTAAACAATGTTTATTATCATTTTATTATATTCAAAATAAGGCTTCTATGTAGCAAGTGTAAAGTCAAGAAGTATACAATAGAAATAAACAATAACACCTCCATATAATACCCAAAGGCCCTTTTAAGGGCCAGTTAAAATTTGTAGAAGAAAAAGAGTTTAAAGATAATAAAACATTAAGCTTTTTTTCCATCAAAAGAGAAATTTATATTTTATATAAATCAAATAAAAAGAATAAACAACTTTTCATTTTAATGTGAATTCTGATATAATTATGGAATAAATATTTTAAATTATCATATATTTTATTTGAATTTAATAATATCACCTTTGATTCAATTTTATATTTCTTTATCTTAATTTTATTCTTAGCACATAAATTAAACCAAAATGATAGTATTCTTAAATCTTATTAGAAAATTTTATTTTCATTGTTTTGCAAATTTGGCATACATTTTGATCAATTCATTTGCAAATCCTATAATCTTGCCTTATTTTCCAAAACATCTTTAATTTTTTTTATATCTTACCCTTCTAAATAGCCAAAATAACGTAAAGCTGCCCATAAAAAGTTTCCCTGTTCTTTATTATTGTATTATTTAGAAGTGACTCAAAACAAATATTTTTCGAAGGTATTTTTTATTATAAGATATATAATTTAAAAAAATAATATTTGTACTATTGATTATATAAAAATTAATATTAAATATTTTATTTAAAAAATGATAGCGTTCTAATTTGATTTGAGCTTGTAGATATATTCCCAACTTTCACAAAAGAAAAATTTGAAGTTGGGGACATTTGTGGTGTTATTTAATGGTAATGTCAGTTTGGGCATATTATTTGGTAAAATCCCTTAAAGAAATAAATATTAAATATTATTAAAGTGGTCTATCACTAAAAGGATTTAATGGCCTAATACTAGTTCCATGTGGTAGTACTAGTGTTGTTAATCGACTAAATTTAGTCAACTAACAGAGGACTAACTAATAGTTTTAGTCGAACAATTCGACTAAAAATTTTAGCGACTAAATTAGTCGATTAGTCGACTAAAACGACTAATTTAGTCGACTAAAACGACTAATCAGAGAAGATAAACAAAAAGAAGTAAAGTGAGAATTTGTCATTAAAATAACTATATGAGTTATATATAAGTTATTTTTAATATATTTTTTTTTGAATTTCTTTTTCTTTGAAGGAACAGAAATTTTAAATTGTTATTTTTGAACTATTTTAAAATTATTTTAAAGCAAGGTATAAATATATATTGTAAACATGTTATATTAAAATTTCAGTGAAGTGTACCATAGAAAAGTGACAATTGTCATAATCGTCATTTATAGGTTTTTTTGAAATTTTTTGAAGCAAATGGGTAAAAATATATATTGTAAACATGTTAAAATAAAATTTAAGCGAAGATGTACCATAGAAAAGTGACAATTGTCATAATTGTCATTTATAGGTTTTTTTGGAATTTTTTGAAGCATATGGGTAAAAATATATATTGTAAACATGTTATATTAAAATTTCAGTGAAGATGTACCATAGAAAAGTGACAATTGTCATAATCGTCATTTATATGTTTTTTTGAAATTTTTTGAAGCAAATGGGTAAAAATATATATTGTAAACATGTTATATTAAAATTTCAGTGAAGATATACCATAGAAAAGTGACAATTGTCATAATCGTCATTTATATGTTTTTTTGAAATTTTTTGAAGCAAATGGGTAAAAATATATATTGTAAACATGTTATATTAAAATTTCAGTGAAGATATACCATAGACAAGTGATAATTCTCATAATCATTATTTTTTTTAACTTTTTTGAAGTAACAGAGTAAAATAAATTGTAAACATGTTAATTTAAAATTTAAATGAGGATGTGACATATGACAATTAATATAATCGTTAATTTTAAGATCTTTAAAATAATTGCTGAAACAAGCTGGGTTTTAGCCTACGCCCTTCCATCTAATTTTAAAAGTGCTGACCAAATTTAAACTTTTATTAGTTATTTAAAATTTATTAGGTAAACATTAAAAAATATATGCTTCATTTTTAACATTTTTAATACTAAAGTACCGATTACTGTTTTGGATATTATTGTTGAGAGAAGGTAATTAGATTAAAAATACTTTTTGGATTTTTTTGCATATAACTAACATCGACGTGGATAAAAATTTAATTTTACACTTTTTCCCAAAAGCAAAGAAAATTCAATTATAAATGAAGTCAAGATTATATCACACAAAAGAAGGGTGTAAATTACAATTTATTTAAAGGATTCAATATGATATATATATTTAACTATCAATTGATTTTTTTAAAACTTATAAATGTTTAAAATAAATAAAATATCTTTGAAAATAAATTATACAAAAATATCTTTTTCAATATTGATATTTGAGGTTCAAAATCAAACCTAGATAAGAGTGATTATGATCGATCATCGGAATTATCTGATGATTGCAACTTCTAATTCATCTTTTTTATTCTTAATCCGGTATCTGGTTTCACGTGAAAATTGATATACGACTTAATTCAATAAATAACCATACCATACCTTAATTTTAGAAAAATGATTTTTCAAAAAAATAAAATTTAATTTAAAAAATAGTATATTCTGAAATTTTCATATAATTTTCCTTATTTTTATAAGTTGTTTTGTTTATTTATTTGCCTAAATTAAATAATTCATCACATTTTGAGATTTTATTTCTTATTTTAAATAATTTTACGCCTATCTGGCGCCATTAATTTTTTGTATATTTATTAATTTAATATTATTATTATTAAATAGCCAATATCTCCCCCGACTCTCTCTCTCTTTCCCATTATTATTTTAAATTTTTATTTGTATATTCTTTTCAAATTTTTTTTGCTAAATTCTATAATGTCTTTTTCAAACTCAAATTCTCAAGAGGTAAATTAATTTTTTATAAATAAATTAAGGAACCAAATGTTTTATAATAAAAAGACCTTATCTAGATACTTGGAGGTAGAGAAGAATAGTCTTATAATTAGTTCTCAACAGGAAGAGAATGATGTAATATTTTTTTTATATATATAATTTATATTAGTATACCCATTAGAGTTGTTATTACAATGTAGAAGAAAATAGACAGGAAATCATAAGCAATGAAGAAATCTATATTCGCGAGTTTGACCCAGATTCAGATGTAATATTTATATTTCGATAGTTTAAAATTTCAATAATATCAAATGTAATTAGTTGCAGTTATATTTCAAAAACTAGTTACATAATAAGTTACTTTATACAACATTCATAAACGCATATATTTAACATAAAAATTTGGATATAATAATTATAATCAATTATTTGAAAAAAATATACAATTTATTTATATAAAAAAAATAATTAAACCGAAAAAAATATCGGACCCTAAATCTCCGGGTATACAGGCCAGGACGTATTTTAATTTTTTTTAAAATATACTCAGGCAGGGCCTGAAATTTTTTTAAAAAAAAATACTTGTGCCAGGCAGTATACTTTAAAACCAAATATTTGAAATAGCCATTATTAGCTATAAAAATCAAAAATAAATATGATATATTTTTAAAATGTCCGAACCAGACCTGATAGTAAGTAATTAATTTAGTAGTTTATTCAAAAATAATTAAGTCTTTGTCGTTTTCATAATTATGTTCTATGATTTAATTTAGCAAAATTAAAAAAAAAACATTAATAAAATTATTTTAGCATATCCTTTATCCTTAATATTCTTTACATAACATGACCCTTTTTAAGAAACCCCTTTTTTTTATAAATAAATATTCTCTTCGCATAATTATATCCAATTTTAAACTCGTGAATATATTCTTCCCTTTAGAACCAACTCATTTTTTTATTATTTTCTCCTTCGCGTCTGATTTGTTATTTCAACCCATTAGTATTCACCTCATTCCTTTTTTTGTGGCTATATTCAATGTATATTTTAAAAAAAATCAAATCTCTCCCCTTCTAAAGCTTTATTTAAAAATATTTTTTTAGTTTTTCTAGCGCTTGCTACTTCCCTTTTTATTTATATTCAACGCTTTCGTCGCTACATTATTTTTGAACACTTTAATTAAAAATTCTCGCTCTCGTTAAAACTTTGGCTTCTACCAAATTAATTCATTTTAGAGCACCATTATGCCGTTCTCTTTATTTATCACCGCACTATTCCATGAAATCTCCAAATATTTGTCTCGCAAGATGATTTTGAATATTTTATACCCCACAAAGTACAACTCATTTCTAATCTAGAAACTAATCATTTCACTCTTATTACATCCCTCGTCGTTTTTTAAACCAAAATTTATTATCTCTTCACACATTGGTCACAAACAAAATTGTTTATCTCTGCAAAAAATTATACATTCATATAAATTGAAATCTCTTTCCCCTTCGAGCATTAACTTTCGGCACTACTCTGAATTTCAATACTTATACATTTTCACTCCCACATTTATATATTTCTGTATTAATATCAAGCTCTCCCACAATTTTACTATGGGCGTTTTGAGCTCTCTATATAATTTATTTCATTGACTCCAAAATAATTTAACACAGCATTTGTACACTTTATTTTCAATAATTATTAATTAAACAAATCAAAAATTCCAACAATATATTTTTTAAAACTAAATTTCATTTAAAACAATTATTGATCACAGATGATCCAAAAAAGGCTATATCAATCAAAATTTGTCGATCCAAATGTATATTTATACATGGGTCATTAAGCCCCGCCGACAAAACCATTTCTCTTCTTTTAATTATACATTAATACCTAGAATATAGATAGAGTATTATAATTTTAATAAATAATATTAAAATAATAAAAAATATATTAAAAATGAAATATATTATTTAGATTATAGAGAGAAATGTTATGCAAGCTTTAGATTTTGATCATAGGTGGCACAGTGGGTTGAACATCTAAAACAAAATCTCGAGGCTTACATAATCTGGATAAAATATTGAGTTAGCCGTGTTTATTAAAATGAGCTGTTTAACAACACTATCATTTTGTATAATAACAATGAACCAATTTTAAAAGATAAAATATATTTTTTATTATATAAATAATATATAGATAGAGCCTATAACTAGCCAAGATGCTAGTACAAGTGACTTATCACAAATTTCTGATATATCTACATCAAGTAATTTAAATATTTCGAATATATTCAAAATGACTCCGACGAAATCTCGTCGGAAATGTATATACTGCAATACACATTATAGTTTAAATACAGCCACAAGTACGTATTTTTAAAATTTAATATACAATTATAATATATATTTTTAGCAAATTTAAAACGACATATTTCTATATCCCATTCTCATCTAAGAATAGAAAATAAAAATAAAAAAATTAATTCTTTAGTAGGAATAAGGAAATTACTTCCTCATGAAAATACGCAATTAAACAAATTGATTATAAGATATATAATAAAAAATAACATCTCATTTAATAAAATAGAATCTCCATTTTTCCGATATATTTTCTCATTTATATTTAAAAATGAGAAGATTTGGTGCAGACAAACTGCTGCCTGCTATGTAAAAGATTTATATCATAAATCTAAAAATAAAATTATTAAAGACCTTAAACAGGTAAATAGTAAAATCAGCCTGACAACTGACTTATGGACAGGAATAAATTCCTTCTCATATTTATCAATAACAATACATTATATTGATAATGATTGGAAATTTGTTAATCTCCTACTTGATTTAATTGAATTACCTCACCCACATACGGGGACAGAAATATCACAATCTATCCAAGCTTCTCTCGAATCATTTAAAATTCATGATAAAGTTATGGCGGTTACTCATGATAATGCTAAAAACATGTTAGCAGCATCGCGTATATTGAGTGAAACTTATACAGAGTTATATGGTTCATCTTTGTATAACCATAGGTGTCTTGCTCACATAATAAATATTATTGTGGGTGAGGGAATGATTGTTTTGAATGATAAATTAGAAAAAATAAATAAATTTGTCAAAAAATTGCACACATCACCAAAATATATGAAAGAATTTTTAGACATAACTGGAGGTATACGCATACCACTTGATGTCGTAACTAGATGGAATTCTAAATTTTTGATGATATCCTCTATTAACAAAGTAATTATGTTTACTTTTTATGTTTAATATTTTTTTTTATAGAATTTAGATGCAGTCAATAAATTGGGGAAAAAAGGGAGCCACCAAGATGGCCAATTATTTATAAATAATGAAGAATCAATTTTTTTAAAAGATGTAGAGGATTTTTTAAAACCCTTTTACAAGATTACTTTAGAAGCTTCATCAGCTACAAATACAACCATTGGCTCATCTGTATTATTCATAAACTGCATTGAAAATATTTTAAATGATTATATTACTGGTGATACCGTATTGAAAAATACAGCGGAGGTGATGTTAACAAAATGTCAAAAATATATTAAACATATGACATCAATTTCCAATTTTATATCAAGTATATTGGACCCTAAAACAAAGCAGAAATTTTTACCTAAATTTATAAATAAATCGGAATTTTTTCATCAATTTAAAACTTTATATACGAAATATAACAACACATCAAAGTCATCAGCCTCTGAAAATGATATCTTGGATAATGAGGCATTACCATTTTCTGTAAGCATGCATAACATTCTAAGAAAGTAAATATATGATTACATACATATATATATTTATTATTTAGGGGTGCGTTACAAAATGATCCATTGACCGACGAAATATCGCTTTATTTAAGAGAAGATGTAGCAAGTCCAATAACAAATGTATTAGAATGGTGGTCGAATAATAAAAATTCATATCCTAATTTATCTTTAATGGCTAAAGATTTCTTAGCTCAACAAACCACGAGTGTTGCTAGCGAAAGAATCTTTAGTAAGGCAGTCGAATGTATAACTAAAAAGAGAAATAAAATGTCGTCAACAACACTCAAACATTGCATATCTCTAAATTGTTGGGAAGTTGATATTGAATAAAAATTTATTTTTTAAATATGTATATGGCAGTAGTATTATAATGTAACTTATTAATTATATAATAATGGTTTACATAAAAAAGCGCAAATATTCTTTATATTGTTTTTCAATATATAAAATTTAAATATTCGTATATTAATAAAATACCATAAATTCATGTGTTAATTTTTTGTTATTGAACTCGTCATTACCAGATAAGTCCTATTTTTTAAAATATTCTTGAGTCAAAAATAAATTTTTAAATGAGAATTATCAGCTTATGAATTAATTTACTAAAATATTTTTAATATTCATTATCATCTTTATTAAAAAAACACTGAAAAGTTTTTAAAGGAGATTTATCAGCAACTTAATTAATTTTTCGTAACTTTAGTAAAGGTGATAGACAATAACCTTGAAGCAATATTTATTGATTGATTGTCCGAAAAATAGATGAAATGTTATAATATAAGGCATTTTCAATCATGGAGAAAGATTGTGAAATGAAATTGTAAATAATTTTCATATGTTTTTTTCGTCTTGCCTTTCTTTCTTTCTCTGGCTCATATGAAATTTAAATATGCCTATTCTTTAAATTTTTTAAGTATCTAATAAAAAAATGAATCAGTTTCATCGTACAATACCACTACAAAAATCTCAGTATATAGAAAGGATAAAAGAATTTAAGATTGAAATTAATTATGATCAAAATATTTATGGTATTATAAAATAATATTTATTAATATTAATTAAATTATAGTTATTATGCAAAAGAAATAAATGGTGCCAGATAGGCGCTAAAATTATTTAAAATAAGAAATAAAATCTTAAAATGTGATGAATTATTCAATTTAGGCAAATAAATAAACAAAACAACTTATAAAAATAAGGAAAAATATATGAAAATTTCAGAATATACTATTTTTTAAATTAAATTTTATTTTTTGATTTTAAAAACATAGTAATTGAAAAATCATTTTTCTAAAATTAAGGTATGGTATGGTTATTTATTGAATTAATTCATATATCAATTTTCACGTGGAACCAGATACCGGATTAAGAATAAAAAAAATGAATTAGAAGTTGCAATCATCAGATAATTCCGATGATCGATCATAATCACTCTTATCTAGGTTTGATTTTGAACCTCAAATATCAATATTGAAAAAGATATTTTTGTATAATTTATTTTCTAGGTTTTTAAAGATATTTTATTTATTTTAAACATTTATAAGTTTAAAAAAAATCAATTGATAGTTAAATATATATATCATATTGAATCCTTTAAATAAATTGTAATTTACACCCTTCTTTTGTGTGATATAATCTTGACTTCATTTATAATTGAATTTTCTTTGCTTTTGGGAAAAAGTGTAAAATTAAATTTTAATCCACGTCGATGTTAGTTACATACAAAAAAATCCAAAAAGTATTTTTAATCTAATTACCTTCTCTCAACATTAATATCCAAAAAAGTAATCGGTACTTTAGTATTAAAAATGAAGCATATATTTTTTAATGTTTACCTAATAAATTTTAAATAACTAATAAAAGTTTAAATTTTTAAATCGGTCCGTTAGCACTTTTAAAATTAGATGGAAGGGCGTAAGCTAAATCCTAGCTCGTTTCAGCAATGATTCTAAAGATCTTAAAATTAACGAATATATTAATTGTCATATGTCACATCCTCATTTAAATTTCAAATTAACATGTTTACAATTTATTTTACTCTGTTACTTCAAAAAAGTTTAAAAAATAATGATTATGAGAATTGTCACTTTTCTATGGTACATCTTCACTGAAATTTTAATTTATCATGTTTACAGTATATATTTTTACCTATTTGCTTCAAAATTTCAAAAAAACTTAAAAATGACGATTATGACAATTGTCACTTTTCTATGGTACATCTTCGCTTAAATTTAAATAAAACATGCTTAAAATATATATTTTTACCCATTTGCTTCAAAAAATTTCAAAAAAACTTAAAAATGACGATTATGGCAATTGTCACTTTACTATGGTACATCTTCACTGAAATTTAAATATAACATTTTTACAATATATTTTTACCCATTTGCTTCAAAAAATTTCAAAAAAAACCTATAAATGACGTTTATGAAAATTGTCACTTTTCTATGGTACATCTTCGCTTAAATTTTATTTTAACATGTTTACAATATATATTTTTACCTATTTGCTTCAAAAAAACTTAAAAATGACGATTATGACAATTGTCACTTTTCTATGGTACATCTTTGCTTAAATTTTATTTTAACACGTTTACAATATATATTTTTACCCATTTGCTTCAAAAAATTTCAAAAAAACCTATAAATGACGATTATGACAATTGTCACTTTTCTATGGTACATCTTCACTGAAATTTAAATATAACATGTTTACAATATATATTTTTACCCATATGCTTCAAAAAATTTCAAAAAAACTTAAAAATGACGATTATGACAATTGTCACTTTTCTATGGTACATCTTCACTGAAATTTTGATTCAACCTGTTTACAATATATATACCTTGCTTTAAAATTATTTTAAAAAAGTTCAAAAATAACAATTTATAATTTTAACCTGTTCCTTCAAAGAAAAATAAATTCAAAAAATATTAAAAATAACTTATATATAACTCATATAGTTATTTTTCTCACTTTACTTCTTTTTGTTTATCTTCTCTGATTAGTCGACTAAATTAGTCGTTTTAGTCGACTAAATTAGTCGTTTTAGTCGTTTTTAGTCGACTAATTAGTCTTTTTTAGTCGACTAATTAGTCTTTTTTAGTCGAGTCGACTAATTTAGTCGCTAAAGTTTTTAGTCGATTTCCTCGACTACGACTCTTAGTCTTAGTCGGAAGAAATCAACTAATTAACAACACTAGGTAGTACTAAAATAAAATAATCAGGTATATATAATAAAAGTTATTTACAGGAACTGTGGAGTACATTGTTCGTTTTCGCAGAAGTATCCTTTGATAATATCTTTTTTTGTAATTGATTTGTATTTAATAGAGGCCCTACAAGAAAAACATCAGATAATAATATAATTAAGTAAATTACTAAAAGAATCTTTTTGTCTATCATAATCACAAGAATGGATAACTATATTTTTATCTGATGAGCCAGCAGTGTGCTTTTTAGCATTAGCACATCCTAAAAATAATATATATATAAAAAATAAAATTAAGTTTATTTAAAAATCTAATCTAACAATATATAATAACCTATAAATGTTTGCATTGATGAATGTAAACTGGTAGAATCTTGAAAATATATTATGCAATTAGTATAAAAATTTATAAAAAAATACTTGTGTTTTCAGAAAGAGTTTGTAAGGGTTTACTATTTGTGAAAATTTTTATTGATGAGGGAAAACTAGTATCTAAAAAAAATATATTGTAAAGACATAAAAAAATTTTTTGCTTTTCATATAAACAATATTTGCTATTAGAGTGATATAGATGTAACTCTAAAATATATAACCTTTCATATCTATCAAATGCTTAAAGTTGTGATTATTTTCTTTGTCCATTATATTGATGTTATTTATTTGTTTTTCTTTCATCACTTTCACTTTTCACAAATAATATAAATGAAATTAAAGATCAAACCTTTTCTCATATTTTTAGCATCTTTGCGTCTTTTCAAATATCCAGGACTCATTTTTTCTGGCATTTCAATATTTTTAATATTGTTGAAATTGATTTCTACTTCACTAACTTGTTTCAGTGGATTTTCTGATTTTTGTTCAACATCTTTTATATATATTTTTTAAAGTTTACAGAATATATTATAATTCATTAAAAAAAATTATTAATAAATTCTAAAAAAAATGATTACCCATGTCATTAAATTTAAATCCTGATGTTGGATTAAATATATTGATAGCATGTTCAAATTGTTCAATAATTTTAGAGTAGGCTGACATAGATCTTTATAAACATATTTTAAGTATGTATATATTTTGTTAAATGCATTTTGATTCATCTGAGATGATAATGATGATATATTTTGCATTATATCCTTTACTTTTCTGAATTTTTCATCAGATGATAGAATTTTTTTTTCATTGATAGTATGATTAATTCTAGTGCCATCGATATCATTTTGATTAATATTATTAGTAAGTATATTATTTTTATCAGTCATCATGTAAATTTTTGAATTCATAAAGTAATCTCTCTGCCATCTTGGATGACATAAATTTTGATCAAACAGATCTATACCATTCTATATTCAAAAATATGCCTAGATTCTAAATATCCACAACTACAATTTGAGGGTAATACTGTTAAAGTTGAATTTCCTTCATCATGGGATATTGATAAATTTAGCTGATCTAATATCCTTTTAAAGGCAGCATTAGTCAATATATTTTGATATTTGAATTTTACACTATTTTCTAGATAACTTATTGTAGATATTTTTTTAAGATTCATAATCACATTATGATTCTTTTCCTCATTTGAGGTATCTATACAAATATTCAAATTTTTGAAAAAATTTGTTAAATTTGAATGTTTTTTTATTAGGGTTTTGAGTTCCCTATTCATACTCTCCATCCTATTATTTGTATAAATAGAAAAATTGTTTTACACCGCCATGCATAAGACCACTCGTGTCGAATGCTATGCCAATTATTATTAAAATATTCTTCCACATCTGGAAAATTTAATGCCATCAATGAATTATATATTTCCCAATAATGTGCCTCTGTTTTGGTGTAGATCATTTTTTTCAAAAGATTTAACACAACCTTTACCTGGGTAGAATTTATATTTCTCTTTTTAACGGTTATTTCTCTAATAAATGTTTGGTACATGGAACGTACATATTTCAAGTGAAGCCATAGGAAAGGCTTCTCTATAAGCATGTCTATCAGCAAAGTCCTTTTCTGCAATTATTACTTTAATTTTATTATTATCATTGTACGATTTAAATAAATCACACATATTTTTAACAATTAAATAATTCTCAGATTTGACTATCCAGATAGCAGCAAATCTCGTTTGTTCTTCGCCATCAATAACAAAGAGAGTAAATACTGGCATTTGATAATAATTTAATTTATAAGTTGCATCAACCAGGAGAATCTCTGGAAATGCACTAAAGTAATCCTTCATATTTGGGGTTTGGTAATATATCCCCTGAAAGGCATTATTTTCAGAAACTATTTTTATAATATTATTAGGGTTTAAATTTTTTAATAAGTTAAAAACATCCAGGAGCTCAGAGTCCCCTGGTTGATATAATATTTTCTTTTTTATATTATATAAATCTCGATTTGTTGTTTAAACTCCTTTTTGTTGGAGGTCATATTTAATTTTAGGTATTGAGGCATCATATTCTAAACACTTAATAATGACAGCTCTTGATTAATAATTTTATGCTGCTTCGGTAAGCGTTTGAATAAATTAGAATCTAAATTAATAATAAAATGGTATTACATTTGATAAAAATATTACCCAAATCATGATTATGACCAGAATTCATTTTTGTAACTTCAAGCATATGTCTTTTTTCTTTTATTATATGCTTAACTGATAAACTATTTTGGCAATTCTTTTGCAATGTTTAGGTAAGTCGTTTTCCTTTCCCACGACTTTTAAATTTTCTACCACCATGAATGCAGACATAACGTATATATTTATAAATCATTGTATGAATAATTTTTGGATCAAAATTGGTAAGTTTAGTACATGAAGCTATATGGTAATTTGTATATACTATATTCTCATATCAAATTATTGCTTCCTGCAAATCATTAAATGATTCAAATTGAGCCCCAACCTATTAAATAGATATAGAATATATATATATAGATAAAAATTTTAGGTTAAAACTTTAAATAATTACATTTCAAATCAATAGTAAATATATTCTTAAAAATATTGTACCTCTAAATTTATTTGACTAGTAGAAGTTATATTGTCTAAATCAAAAAGATCAAAATTGCTTTGATGTGCATCCATAAGAATCTAGTATGATATAAGCTTTTTAAAAAAATATTATTATTAGAGATTTGCTATAAGCTAAAAAATTAATGGGCTGGAAAAAATTAATATTCTTATAATTTAAATAGACAACATTTAATTTAATAAAATACTTGGCTATATAAAAGTATTGGCTAATATCTAATTTTCAAGGATAATATAACTCTTCAGATTATTGAGAAATAAAAGAAATAACCTGTTTTGTTAAATTTTAAATATAAAATCATTATTGTAACTATATAAATACAATATTCTTATAATTTAAATAGACAACATTTCATTTAATAAAATACTTTGATATGTAAAAGTATTGGCTAATATCTAATTTTCAAGGATAATATAACTCTTCAGATTATTGAGAAATAAAAGAAATAACCTGTTTTGTTAAATTTTAAATATTAAATCATTATTGTAACTATATAAATACAATATACTTTTAAAATTTATGAGTATCCATTTTGATTATTTCTGTTCATTAAAAAATATAGTCATTATTGAATAAATACAATTACTTTTAATATTGGTGTCCAAATAAAATAATTATTAAACGAACATTTATAAACGAGAGCTTTCGTAATTTTACTTATTTATTTACATAAAAATAAATATATGACGTATTTTGGCGTGCTTGTTAATTTATAAAAAACATGAAAAAAATAGTGCACGCTTACCGTGCATTATCATTACCCGTAAGCATCATTAACCGAAAAAAAGATGGTATCATCTGATCGTTATATAAATGATACTTAAATTAAAAAAAAAAATTAAAGTAAAACTATAAAAGTTAATTAAAGATACAATCAAAATTTAATAAATTAAAAATGGCATGATATTTTCTTAAAACCAATATTGCTGACAAATATGCAAACCAACCTTAAGCTAAAAACGTCATAATCTCTATAACATATCAGTGTTTCTTATTGTTATATATAAATCAATGACATATATAATACCTAGACTGACGATTCATTCATTAAAAGTGTACATTAATGCAAATCAGCTGGAGACGCCATCTTGGTTACACTAATCATTATTAAAATTTTAAACGAGAGCCTAATTTATTCCTATATCTGATGCAAACTTTATTAAAGAATTACCGGATCATCGAGATAATAAGGAAGCAAGTTATCAATTTAATAGTAGTTTTTAACATGAGAATAATTACTATGTGTGTTATCAAAATGGCGGGTTCAGCTGATTTGCTTTTAACGACGCTTAAAATGCATTTTAATGAATGAATTGCCAGTCTAGGTATTATATATGTCATTGATATAAATATTATTTTTATGCCTTAAGGCGATATTTAAATTATTTTAGTATGTTTATATTTTATCGCGTTACAATTTCATTTTTTATTATTTCATCACTTAAATTAAATTTAATCCAAAATAAAGAACATTTTATTTTAGTTTTGCGTAACTTAATTATTGATTATTATTTTATATATATTTATTTTATCGATTAATAAAATAAATATATATATAGCAAACATTTTTTTAAAACGAGATATATAAATTTATTTTGTGATACAAATATTTTATATTGATATACTTCTACTATGTACTTTTGATTACTTCTCATGTACTTTTCATTTTTGATACCTCTCATGTGCCATAATTTGCTAATAATAAAATTATAGAAAACACTCTCGGACTCATATTTTTAGCAATAGCAAGCAGACTCCGGGAGTTCTTCCTTTTTTCTTTGACGGTGAACGTAAATATTTATTATCTTAGCAGATTCGTACTTATCAGCAGAGTTGTACATTTGCTCAAAATAAAGATCTTTTATTTTTTAAAAATTTTGTGTAACGATCTTCAAAGATCTTCATGATATTTATTTTTTTACCCCTTTATTAAAAGCCCAGATGTTTTTCAATTTTATTAATATAATATTTTTTTATGTTTTATACCTCTCCTCCTGCCTTGGTGAAAATTGAAAAACATCTGGGCTTTTAATAAAGGGGTAAAAAAATAAATATCATGAAGATCTTTGAAGATCGTTACACAAAATTTTTAAAAAATAAAAGATCTTCAAATTTTACGATCTTCAAAGATCTTGCTCAAATTTTTGAGCTAGATCTCGCTCAAAAATCTTCAAAGAAGATCTTTTGTACAACTCTGCTTATCAGAGATAAAGGATATATATAAAGTAAAAGGATATCTAAAAATAAAATAGAAATGTTTTAAGTTGGCGGAACGATGTGAGGATCAATTAACAAAACCTATGCCAATATTTAGTGTCTTAATTGATCATAGTTGATCTTCAAACCAGACATCAGCTGAATCAAAGTTTAATGTTATAAGCAAATAAGTGAGTGTGAAATTTTGAAGCTGGCGGAAGATTTGAAGATCAATTACTGAAACTTATATCATTCTGTAGCCCGTTAATTGATATCAATTGATCCTCTATCCGGACAGCAGCGAAGTGAATCGTTACTATGTTATGAGAAAATTTGGCACTTTGCCAAAACAAAAAATATAAAAGATCATGTTCTGAAACTTAGCTGTAGTATTTAATATGTACGTTAATATTCTCCAAACCGGATATCGATATCACTAACCGTTACCGAGTTAGATTTAAAAACGTAAAGTTGGCTTATTTAAGCTGGCGGAACAACTTGAGGATCAATTACCGAAATTCATACCATTGTGTAGCACGTTAATGAATCCTAATTGATCTTCTATCTGTAAATCAGCGGAATGAACTGTTACTGAGTTATGAGCAAAATAATAAAGTATTGGCACTTTGCCAAAACCGAACATGTTCTGAAACTTGGCAATTATTTAGTATTCAATATGTGCATTAATAATCTCCAAACCGCATATTGGTATCACTAACCATAACCGAATTATATCCGTTTTGAAAGCGTAAAGTTAGCGGAATTATTTTTAGAAGTGAGGATCAATTACCGAAAATTATTCCAAAGTGTAGTGCGTTAATTGATCAAGAATCTTTAAACCGTATACCAGCGGAATAAACCGTTCATGAGTTATGAGCAAAATAAAAAATTTTGGCATTTTGCCAAAACCGATAATAAAAAGGATTTTATTTTGAAACTTGACAATTATTTAGTATTCAGTGCATTAGAATCTCCAAACCGCATGTCGGTGACACTAACCGTAACCGAATTATATCCATTTTAAAAGAGTAAAATTAGCGGAATTATTTGATCAATTACCGAAAACTATGCCAATAATGTATAGCCCTTTTAATTGCTCCATAATCTTCAAACGGAA